TTTTTGTTTTAGTATTTTGAAGTTGACCAATTGTTACTATAAGCAATTAATGATTATAGATGATCTGCACCATATTATTTACATCATTTTGAAATCTCTTCAACTACATTTCTTGAATTTTCAATTTCATTATTAGATATTTCATTTTTCAAAGGGAGAATTGCGGTTTTCCTCTATCAATTTTGGTAATTTGGACATTTATATGTCACGTGAATCTGCTGTAGACATATAGAAAGACCCCATCAAAAATCCATGGAACAAATTTATTATTAGTAGTAGAATCAGTTATTATTATGACAAACGTTTTAATTAATATTAATAAGGGGACAATACTTAAATCCGTTGTAACAAGAAATGCGTTGTGGCGAGGTCCGCTGTGACGAGGTTTGACTGTAATATATATAAAAAATTTAATAAATGGTGGTTAACCGGTTAAAAAAATATCTTAACCGATTAAACGGTTAAGGGTGCCAACCCCTAATTAGAAGCCCAATTGTTGCTAACTTTATCATTTAGTTTAAATGATTTTAATTCCTTTTTGGAATGATACTTTTTAAAATAACATTTAAACCTAAGGTCGTTGTTATTACTGATGATGTTGTATTCACAAGATAAGGAAGAGATCTTGTTTTTTTTCTAAAAAATGATATCATTTATGATAATGCTTCATATTTGTTAATACAATATGATAAAAAAAAAGGTGGAATAGGAGATTCTCTACTTCTCTATAAATAAAACTCTTTATTTACACCATTAAAAAAAATTGTTTAAACAATTAGAAATTTAACAACAATTTTATTATTATTATTAGTACAAATTGAATAATTCAAAACAAAAATAATATTTTTAATATTATTGATAATTTAACCTCTTCTCTTAACAGGTCTTCCTTCTTCTTTTCCATTCTGATTATGTTTTTTCACTGCTATTGCACCTTGAGAAGATGTCCCTGATTGTTGTAGTTGCTGCTGCTGTTGACTTTGAACAACTGTTCCAGGTACTGGTTGTACAACCTTGACATCAGAATCATCTTGTTTCAAAGTTCTTAGTGGATATTGAAATGGTTGGCCTTTAAAAGATCTACAGCATTCATTTGTATATATGTTAATATTATATTTATAATATAATATCAGATAATAATAATAATGGTAGTTACTCCATAGAAGGCAATGGCTCTTCTGAAAAATAAGGATGGTTTAAAGCATCTTCAGCATTAATTCTTCTTGTAGGATCATATTCCAACATTTTAGCTAAAAGATCAAAACCTGCTTCAGAAGGTGATGAACGTGAATTTTGATAAAAACTTTTTAACCGATTATCAGTTCTAAAAATTTAAATAAATGGCATTAATTATATATAATAATGATATATAGAAAAAAAAAGGAAAAAAATTTTAATTACTGTTTCATGCTGAGTATATTATGATATTCTGGTTGTTGATCAATTGTAGGCCATTGATCCTCTAGGAAAATATTAATGTTAATATTTTATTTCAAAAAAATTTTTTAATCATGATCATAATCAATAATAATTACTTGTAGGTGTTCCTAATACATCAAATATTTTAATTAATTGATTTTTTTGGAATGGAACATTTTTCTTACTATCCATTTTTGCCTCTTCACCTTTAAATATAGGTCTTAAAGTCAATAATTCAGCAAATATACACCCAACAGCCCAAATATCTATAATGGTAATGTAATAATCATAATAGTAAAATTTAATAATAATAATAATAATAATAATAATAATAATAATAATAATATAATTATTATGTTGTAAATAAAATCTTGGTAATATATCATTATCATCATCATCTAACTGTTGAAATAATTTTTACCAATTGCTGTAGTATAATGTTTTGAACCAAGTAATAATTCTGGTGCTCGATACCAAATTGTAACAACTACTTTATCTCCATTATATAATGGTTGTAAAGGCCTACTATATATCCTTGCTAATCCCAAATCACCTAAAAAAAAATATTGTTATTACTATTGATAATATAATATTATTACACCCCACCCATTACTTAATTATAAATTATTACCAATTTTAACAACACCTTCAGCTATAACTAAAATATTTGCAGGTTTTAAATCTCTATGTAGTATCCAATTTGCATGCAAATACGCAACACCATTTAATAATTGCCATAAGAAAGATTTGACTGTGAATTCTGGTATTGGTTTTCTTTCATTTTGTGAATGATGATGAATTATTTGCTAAAAAATCATTAAATTATAATTATAAATTTTATTGCTGTTGTTTTATGCATTAATTGTAAAAATTAGTCAAAAATCTCCCTCATACAAGAAAATCATGTTCAGCATAATCAAGCACCATATTGATTGATGTGTCTTCAAGTAAAACTTCTTTCAATTCTATTACATTTTCATGATGAAGTTCACGACATAACTTAAACCAAGAAAAAAAAATATTAACCAATTAATTAATTAAACAATTGTCATCAAATATACTATAAATATACCGTACTGATATTTCTCTGCATGCTGATTGAGAAATTCCGGTATAAGTGTTAGGTTCACCTTCCTTATCAGGTTTAAATTTTTTGATTGCGAGAAAAACTTCTTTTTCTTCAGGTGATGATGATTCTTGACTAAACAAAACAATCAGTTGAATTGATCATTTCTGAATTTATTTTTTTCTTAAATCTAATTTTAAAAATTTTTTAAAAGAAATCCTCATATTTATATATATATGAATTTAAACAATAACAAACCTTTTGTCTTTTTGTTTAAGTTTTACTTTGTAAACTCTACCATAAGTACCTGAGCTAAGAAATCCTAAAAATTCATATTTATCCCTCACTCTAACTCTTTCATTTAACCTCCTTTCCTTAAAATTCTGTAGCATTTTACTATTCATATTTACTAGCAAGGAAATGTCGATTTTATAATAATAAAAAAAAACAAGGAAATTGAGTACGGGTTTGTATTACATAATAAATGCACTCATTTTATTGGTCATCAATAAGTTAGTTTTTTTTTAAAATAATAACTACTACGTAGCAGATATTAATATTAATATTCATATTTACGAAAACCGGTTTACGTCGTGTGACTGTACAAAAAAGCACGTTAATGCGTATTTTTTTAAAAACAGTCGAAGCCTCCTTGGAAATTTCAATTAGTACTATTGTTATGAGAACAATGACTTTACATTTTGCAAATATCAAGAAAGAACTTCCAGTCTTCTTTTTTTAGATAAAATGAAATTTCTTTTAATTTCAGAAATTTCTACTATGTTAAATAATATGTAGTGGGGAAGAAAAAAAACCAATCAATCTAAGATTTGAGAAAGCCTCTTATTTCCTATTTACACAGAACCAACCATCTTAAAAAATCCTGAATCCAAAAAAAATTATCTTTGTTACCCATCAACAATTAAAATTCGTGAATGGTTTTTGATCAAAGGTAAAAATTTGGCTAATCGCGAAAAATAAAAAAAAAGAATTAGCTGATTTGTTTTTTTTTTAATAACAATAAACAATAAAGATTGATTGTTTATTTAATGATAATGAAAATAAAGATCAATTGTTTTTTTTTATTAAAAAATAAAAAAAATAAAGGTTAATTGTTTTGTCACAAGAAATAAATAAATAAGCCTGCCATCTTAACCTTTTGTTTTTTTTTATGTTTATTAAAAACAACAGATGTTGATGTTGAACAAATTCGGGTTGCCTTTTCTGTTCATTCTGCCATTGTTGATGCTGTCCTCTCCAAGCAGAAGATTAATTTTGAGCTTAATGGGAACCCTGCAAGCAGAACTCAATTCCCTATACAGAATACTTTTGGTCTAACAGTCCACAAGACACAAGGGTTAACCTTGCCAAGTATATCTGTCTGCCTTGACCAACAGGTATTTGCTCCTGGACAGGCTTATGTTGCTCTCAGCCATTGTACCAAATGGGAAGATCTCAGAATTAACTCTCTTTCAAGGGAGGCGTTCATGGTTGATCAATTGATGGTTAGGGAGTATGCTCGGCTGGAAGAAATTGCTACCAAATCATTGCCTATTAATAACAATTCATAACAATAAAATGAACATTTGTCTTTATCTTTTTTTTTTTTATAAAATCATTATTATTTACACACATTCAGAAAAAAAGAATATTTTTTTTTCTGATATTGATCATCAAACATATGTTAACAAATTCTTATGTGCGGATTTTTTAGTATCTTTATCATATATTTCAACACATTGTAAATGTTTACAACAAGATTCAACTAACAATATATTTTTTTGAAAACACGAATTATAAAAAGAAATTTCTATTAATTTATCAGTTACAATGTAAATTTTTATGGTAAAATTTAATAATAAATCGAA